GACCCGTTTGGATTTGGATGCCGTTTTGTCTTCCCCATACACTGTCTCACGGACTGTCACCATTATTTTGTGCACTATTAAACCCCTGTGTGTTCCCTTTTACCACGCCTCCTGTTTTCTCCAGCTCTTACCGCATCGCATAGGGTCTTCTACAAGATCTGACACGGATTTCAGTCCGTGTTCGTACATTTGTGTACGATACATTTGTGATTTTCATACAGCAGTTCTGTATGGGGTGGTGCCGAGGAAAAGTTTAGAAATTGTCTAAGAAAACTCTTCGGTTGGGTGTGGTCAAGCAGAGTCCCTTATTCATGCGCATGGGAAGGATATGATCATGCAGATCTGAGAGCAGCCTCTCATACAGATCTGTGGGTAACCTCTCCACCGAGATGATAAATGCAATTTTTATACAGCAAATTCACACAGGAAAGCTCATTCTAAGTTTCCATATTAGGAGTTGTTTTTTTCTCTACAAACATTTCTTTGTAATAGACCACATTCTTCTTAAGAAGCAGTTTTACCTTGTATACAGTCAAAAAGAAGTATATACTGTAAATAAAAGGTGTGAAATGAGCTAGACATTCTGCAGTTGTAGCATTAATATCAAAAAGTCAAATAATATACTTGCAATTGTTCTTTCATACTGTTGCTGGGTAAAAGGCATTTTTCAATGCCAACTAGTCACTATCTTATACACTTTTAAGAAAGGTAAATGCTAGAATTCTTCCTCAGTGGATGTCCTCTACTGACTGCTTTGCAACCCTCATCCAGGTTCCAAAGTCTCGACACAGCCCAGGCGGTCTCTGGGTGCCCGGCTGTATGAGACTGCAGTGCGTGTTTGTGTTGAAGTTGCGCTCTGCCTGTAGGGTCCCTGCAGTGACAGGACCAGTCGGGCTGGACGCTCCCCAGCTGTGAGGGCAGCTAACACAAACACCGATACTGATGGCCACCCACTTAACAGCCAGCCCGAGCAAGCGCCTCGCTGTCCTGGGGAGGAGCCGAGCCGCGGTCTGTGTTTGTATCAGCACTGCTGGATTACTGCCATGCAGAAGGAAGGCAAGAAGACACAAACCTCATTTCACGAACAGGAAAGATGTGTCTGAGAGGACTCTCACAGTGTAAATATTTACCACGAAGGTTGTTGTCCATTAACTGTTTGAGGAAACACCTATTCTAATATGTGTATATAAGTTTATGAATGATTCAAATTCTGGATGTCCTGAAGCTTGTTTTGGGTAATTAAAGTAAAAAGGACAGACGGATCGTTTTCTTCTTCAGATTCTGTTATTTATTTGTTTCGTTTTTTGGAAGATGTGTTTGTATTGTTCGGGTTAGTGGAGATGAGTGTTTTTCTAACAGACTCGGAAGGAGTGATACCTGAACAAAACTAGTGTTTCCTAATGCTATAGCAGCATTTCCTGTTCCTATGCAGGAACAAAACTGTTTTTACCTCCTTGTTATGTTATCACTCCCAGCTGTTCCAATATTGGAAGACAATAGAAAGCCGTCAGTCAACAGTTGAGTCTTTAGAACTCAGTAACGTTTCAAAAGCTTTGTCAGGTATAAATCTTTCACGAGCTGTGAGCCATTAGCGCAGAGTGCCATTAGTGTCTGTGTTTCAGTCGCTCAAAGGGGTTTTGTCGATTAATGCTGGCTTCTCTCTCCACACATGGCTCTTACTGTGAAATGCTTCTCACTGACTCACTTCTTCACCGTGCTTCTCAGGAGAAATACTCAGCATACTCAGACGTCTATGGTGGTGATAAAGTAGCAGTGCCATTGATAACCCAGAATTGCATGTACTGTATTTACTTGGTATCTGCAGTTTTTGCTGTTGTGTTTTCAGCTGATGTTTTACAATCTCTTCACTGACATGTATGGCACAGTATTTTGATTACTTGCCTCCACCTCTTCTCACTAGATTTTGCATAAGGTGCCTGGAAACTTGTTTGACAAGTCAACTGTTTCGGACACAGAACTACCTTAACTTGAGACACAGAGAGAGAAAGACAAACAGAAAGAGAGAGACACAGAGAGAGACTCACTCACACAGAGAGAAAGACACACAGAGAGAGAGAGACATATAAACAGAGAGAGACTCACTCACACAGAGACACACTCACAGAGGCAGAGAGAGAGACACACACAAAGAGAAAGACACACACACAGAGACAGAGACACTCAGAGAGACAAACACAGAGAGAGAGACACATAGGAATAGCCTGTTTCGGCTTCACCTGACTTTTCCTCTCTCGTCTTCTCCTCTCAAGGCAGCTTTTTGCACCTGAGTACACCGAGACCTGGTACAGCCCCAGCGGAGCCCTGCTCTCTTCCTCCCCCCAGAACGCGGTGAGTGTCCATCCGTGTGTCGGCTACGTCTCCTGCTGCTTCTCCCCTGGGGGAAATCGCTCAGTCAGCGCTGCAGTGGTCAGGTACAAAGACGCTTTGTAAAGTGTGACCAGCGTTTTGAAACTATGGCAAAGTAACTGTATAGTAAACCATAGTGGGAACTGAGGGGGACAAGTAAAAATGCCACATATACGTAATGTGGTCAACAAATAAAAAATTGCAAGGTGCCTTGCTCATTTTGGAGAAACTGGATATTTATTCACATGCACAGAACGAATATCGATCAACTCTTCGTCCAATCACAACAATACACTCACTACATTGTCTGAACTCTGAACCCTGACCTGGAAGGTGTTCTTTCCGATACGGATACTGACGTACTGCTGGAGCAGGGAAGGGGTGAGTAAAATCAAGTCAGTGCACCTGAACGCCAGCCTGTCGTGTCTTGTTCTGTTGCAGGAGCACTGCTTTTACCACGGGGCGGTGAGAGGCCAGGAGGGGTCAGGTGTGGCGCTGAGCACCTGTCACGGACTGCGGTGAGACTGCTGGCGGCCCCGCATTAGGCGTTAGTCACGGGGGCCTTGGGCCCACCTGTCTTTTCCTGATGTCACACAGCTCGGTGTGTGTAAAAAAGCTCAGTCTGCTCTGCTGATGTCACGCCTCAGGGCTGTCGGGCCTCTCCGGACCCCTGTGATTTGCGCCTCAGCACCAGGTGCCATGATGAGAACCGTGCACAATGAAGAATTGTTTCTTTTTCAGCAAACAAACTCAGGGGTCTGATATTTCTTCCCTCTGACTTAGTGGCCTCAAAAATCAGTAAGTAGCAAGCAAGCTTCTGATGAGATACATTTTACAGCGAGACATCCAGCTTTTGGAGCTTGTACCCTAGGCAGCTTTCCTTTTCACCCATTTGGAAATTTCACTGGAACAATTCAGTTGCAGGACCTTGCTCAGGGGTACAACAGCACTGTCTCAGCAGGGATTTGACACCCCAACCTCCCAGTGAGAGGTCCAGTACCCTGACCGCTGTGCCACACTGCTGCCCCCACAGCCATAGATCAACAGGACCAATCTTGCCTACTGCCATATCACCCTGCAGCTCACAGCTCACAGCTGGCAGCCCACTGAAGCTCAGCAGGTGTGAGCCTGGTTAGTACCTGGATGGGTGACCTCCTGGGAAAAACTAAGGCTGCTGCTGGAAGAGGTGTCAGTGGGGCCAGCAGGGGGCGCTCACCCTGTGGCCTATGTGGGTCCTAATGGCCTAGTATAGTGACGGGGGACACTATACTGTAAAAAGGATGAGACATAAAAACGAGGTCCTGACTCTCTGTGGTCATTAAAAATCCCAGGATGTTTCTTGAAAAGAGCAGGGGTGTTACCCCTGTGTCCTGGCCAAATTTCAATCATGGCCTCCTAATAATCCCCATCTATGAACTGGCTTCATCACTCTGTTCTCCTCTCCACTGAGAGCTGGTGTGAGGTGAGAGTACTGGTGCACTCTGGCTGCCATCACATCATACAGGTGGGGCTACACACTGGTGGAGGGGAGTCCCCATTACCTGTAAAGCACTTTGAGCTATATAAGTGTAAGCTATTATTATTATTATTAGAATTATTATTCCGAGAAAACATGGCTGTGGGAATTTTTGCTATTTGTTTTATCAGAGTGGTAAAGAATGGTTTGTGATTGTATCCCAGGAGGAAGCCTTTTGTTATCCATTGTCTTTCTCATTGTTGACCTCAGGGGTGGCCAGATTTCTAAGAAATCGGTTCAGAGTCATTAGTTATGTATGTCTCCCCCTCGACTTTTCTCTCCGCCCACAGGGGCACGTGAAGAGGGATGAACCTGCCCCGTGTTCCTCCAAGCAGACACATCTGCGGGAGAAACATCTGGAAACCGTTGGACAGGGTTGCAGGAGGGGTCCTGGAAACCCAAGACCTGCGGAATTACTCCAGAAAAAAAAAACCGACACAGAGAGACTGTAGGCTGGAAATGCTGGGGATTTTTTTTTTTAGCTGCTGCAGAAGAGCCTTACCAGATGCTTTTGTGAACAATAAATCACATCAAAATGAATCTCTGGGGAGAGTGGAAAGCTGTGCAGCGTCCGTGCCTGTAAAGATGAAGGAGAAGCAGAGTTCTGGCTGAGGTCTCTGCGACGCTCCACTCCTGACAGGGCCGTTCCCCAGAGCTGTCGGCCTCGGATTTACAGTTTTTTTAGGATGTTTTCTCCATCTTTAAGTCAATTTCTATTGAAATAGCAAAGAAAGTACATTGGAACATGCAGCTGTGACCTATATAGCTTATATTACATCCCATGATTGTGAGGTAAGAACTTGTTGGCTGCTCATGGATGCCCAAGCTTGCCCTGCCTTCAGAGATAATGATACTTCCTCACACATATACAGCACTTTTCTGGACACTCCACTCAAAGCGCTTTACAGGTAATGGGGGCTCCCCTTCACCATCAGTGTGCAGCCCCCCCTGGATGATGCAATGGCAGCCATAGTGCTCCAGTGTGCTCAGCACACACCATCTGTGGGGAAAAGAACAGAGTGATGTTCTCAAACTCTTTTTGAGAAATACCCTGGGATTTTTGATTACCACAGAGAATCAGGACCTCAGTTTTACATCTCATCCAAAGGATGGCACCTTTTCACCCCCAGCTGGCCCCACTGACACCTCTTCTAGCAGCATCCTTAGTTTTTCCCAGGAGGTCTCCCATCCAGGTACTGACCAGGCTCCCAGCTGCTGAGCTTCAGTAGGCTGCCAGTTGTGAGTTGCATGGTGATATGGCTGCTGGCCATATCATGGCCCATCTAGGGACACCACTGGAATAAGTGAAGAACTACTATCTTTTTGGTGTTACTCAGAAACCTATCATTTTTTATATTATCTTTTGTTTTTTTGGAGTTATTCAGAGATACAAATCAGCACCTGCTTTTACAGAAGACCTATGAAATGACAGAAACTGTAAAGTCAAAACATTCTTATTTCAGAGGTACAGCATTGGATAGTTATAATAATAATAATAATTGCTTACACTTATATAGCGCTTTTCTGGACACTCCACTCGAAGCGCTTTACAGGTAATGGGGACTCCCCTCCACCACCACCACCAGTGTGCAGCCCCACCTGGATGCTGTTGTGTTTCGTTTGTGTTTAGCATCAACAGATTAACAGATGTTGTGCTGTTTGGGGGGAAAAAAGGCCTCAGAATTGTTCTATGGGTCCTGAACAAGTAAGGTATGGTCATATAAAATAGTTGAATTTATTGTGCTGTTGCCCATTTCTCTGCAGAGGCCTGATCACAGTCAACCACACGGTGAGCTATCTGATTGAGCCACTGCCCAACGGCACAGACGCCGACCAGCACGCTGTCTACCGAGTGGAGAGTCTGAGGCTGCAGCAGGGCACCTGCGGGCATCGCCATGGAGACCACACGGACAGACTGGAGGACATAATCGCTGGTCTGATACACACAGAGCAACATGGCAGAGTGAGGGTGCAGCCCTGCCAGGAATTTCATTCCCCCATCAGGAGTGCGACTGATCAGATTGTCCCGAAATCATGGATCTGTTGCAACAGAATCTCCTGCATTCTAATGTCAGTGTTTCTGCCCTTAATGTAGGAGGAAGTGGCATTAACTGTATGGTGGTTGTACAGTGCTTTTTTAATACTCAAACAGCCAAAGATGCAGAATTTCTCAGTTGCCCTGTTCCCTTATTCGTGATTTCTCCCCTTCTTGATTTTGAAAAGTCTTAAGAGATGCTGAAAATCAAAAGCCCATTATCATGTGCTTCTTGAGTTTGTGGAACCTGGAGAGCATCTCCCGTCTTGCTTTTTTTGTAGTCCTGTTCTCTCAGAGTGCTTTAGAAGAGAACACAAACTCTAGTATCACTAAAGCTTTCTGGTCGAGCTGTGTTGTTTTGTGCTTTTTCCTTCTGTAGGAAAAGAGAGATCTCAGGAAGAACACGAAATATGTTGAACTGATGATAGTCGCCGATAATGCAGAGGTAAGAGTCAGTAATAAGACTGTTAGTAGTACTCTAATACTATATAATATTAGCATGGGATAATTCAGTAAAATTGTACAGGTGCTCTCATTATTTCAAAAGAATGCGGAGGCAATCTTTGCACAAAGTACTCAGCTTTTATTAGAAAAAGGGCAACAGCAAGCAGACAAGCTCTCCGAGGCTTGATATGAATGTGTTACAAGTCTCCTCCTCCCACTCCATAGCAGTGCATAAACGTCTCTTAATGAGCATAAGGGCAATAATAGTAATTAAACATGAACAGGGGTCAATTAAAATGGATGGGTTCATGCCTGTGTGGTAATTAAGACCACGGGACTGCACTCTGCATCTCCTGGAAGTGGAGAGACCAAGGACATTACATCATCAAGAGCACCAAAGACATTACATCATCCAGAATACCAAGGACATCAAGAGAAAGAAGGACATTACATCATCAACAGAAACAAGGACATTACATGATAAAGAGCACCAAGGATATTACAACTTCAAGAGGACATTGCATTTTCAAGAGGACCAAAGTCTGTACAGCATCAAGAGCACCAACAACATTATCAAGTCTGAGAAACACTAGGATCTGTGCTGCTCTTCCAAGAAACAAGAAATACTACTTTCAATAATACTAGTTTTGTAACATGGTGCTTCATTTGTGTTGAGTAATTAAATGTCATTTAATTAAATGAATTAAATTAAATTTTTAAATTAAAAAAATTTAGCAGTCTTCCCGGTGTACAGTCTGCCACTCTATAATTCCTTTTTTCGTTTTCTGCTTTCTGAAACTGTACTGAGAAATGACTTGCTGAACCTCCTCGTACTTTTTGCTGTTGTGTGCAGTTTCAGAAACATGGTCGTGACTTTGACAAGACCCGGATGAAGCTACTGGAAGCTGCCAATTATGTAGACAAGGTGAGAAGCAGACTGTGAGAGCCAGGTAGTGTACTGTATACTGTATGTGTTGGGTCACAAGTCTCTGGTCTCATAGCTGGTGGGCGGTTGATTTAAGTCCCTGCTGCAGGCACTGCTGTTGCGCCCTGAATGAGGTCATTAACCCCAGTGGCTCCAGTCTACCCAGCTGTTTAAGGAGGACCAAAGTCCTGTAGGTTTCAGTCAGAGTTGCACTGACCTTGGTGTTCTTTTTTTCCAGCTGTTCTGTATTTATCTGCTCTCACTCGCTGTGTTTCTGTTTGTTCCTTGTCATCTTTTTCACTTTCACGTTCTTGGACGATGACTATTCTGCCAGTTCTTTTCTGTATGAGATGGATCAACAGTGAAACCGTAGACTATGAATCTGAAGCTCAACAGCCTTTCTACAGAGGGCTTCAGAGGCTGCTGTGTGACTGGGGCCACCGCTGTGATCTCTCTCTCCTGTTCTTTCGTTGTCTCAACCCCGTCTCTCGTTTTCCTCTGTCAGTTCTACAAGGCTCTGAATATCCGGGTCGCCCTGATCGGCCTGGAGATCTGGACGGACCAGGACAAGATCAGTGTGTCTGACAACCCCTTCAGCACGCTGTGCGCCTTCCTGGACTGGAGACGCAAACAGCTGCCCCGCTTGAAAAATGACAACGCCCAGCTCGTGACGTAAGTCGCCAAGGCCCCCCCCCCGATCCACCCCGCATGAGTAATAATAATAATAATAATAATAATAATAATAATAATAATAATAATAATAATAATAATAATAATAATAATAATAATAATAATTGCTTACACTTATATAGCGCTTTTCTGGACACTCCACTCAAAGCACTTTACAGGTAATGGGGACTCCCCTCCACCACCACCAATGTGCAGCCCCACCTGGATGATGCAACAGCAGCAATAGTGTGCCAGAATGCTCACCACACACCAGCTATCAGTGGGGAGGAGAACAGAGTAATGAAGCCAATTTATAGAGGGGGATTATTAGGAGGGCATGATTGATAAAGAGCGATGGGAAATTTGGCCAGGACGCCGGGGTACACCCCTACTCTTTTCGAGAAACACCCTGGGATTTTTAATGAGCACAGAGAGTCAGGACCTCGGTTTTACGTCTCACCCGAAGGACGGCGCCTGTTTACAGTATAGTGTCCCCGTCACTACACTGGGGCATTAGGACCCACATGAGCCGCAGGGTGAGCGCCCCCTGCTGGCCCCACTAACACCTCTTCCAACAGCAACCTTAGTTTTTCCCAGGAGTGTCTGTGTATCCAGGACAGCCACCCTGGTGTGAGGAGGAATATCAGCACTGTGCGTCCACTAACTCTTTCACGTCCGTTTGATTCTCGTCTGTTTCAGACTTGGGACTGGATTGAAACACAAGCTTGCTTAATTGCTTAACTGGACTTACAGAAGCCCTCTCTGTATTCAATTCTAATGATATGTGGTAATAGTTAGAGGAGCCCTAGTTAGTAAGATGCTCCTTCAGTGTGTTTGTGGTAATTCGTTCCCAGAAACCCTTTCATATAGCGAAAATCTGTAAAAAGAAAAGCTTATTTCCTTTATTTCTTATGGGGAAAAATTACAGTCTGTTCCAGTCCCCAAAACGTGATCCCTACTTGAACGTTTTCACCAAAAAATGACCAAAGAAACAATAATAACTAACATTCATACTGTGGATCGTGTTTTTAGTAATAACAACACACAGCATACCTAGTTAGACCTCATTCATCATATGTAAGTGCAGTATTATAACCACTTCATTTGCTAATTTCACAAATTTGTGTAATTTCACACACTCACAGTGTTCATTTTCTTAACAGCTTGAGGGTCCATGATAAAGTCTAAACTATAAATATTCTTAAGAAAAGTAAGAACACCCACAATCGCGAACGTCGCTCGAAGCAAGACGTGGTGAACTGTATCGCACATTTCTCATGCCACTCCGTAGGCTCTCATACATACTAATTAGTGGAATGGCTGTGAACACTCAATATGAAGCGTGTCTTAGGACGACTTCCTCTTCACATGTGAGAGAGGTTTCGATATTTTTCTTCGTATCACTTCTTCGTCATTTTGAAGTTGGCTTTCGTTTTTTTTCCTAAATGGGCGTAACAGTTCACATGGTTCGTAGCATCAGATTTTCATAAAAAGAACATTCATAAAATGAGATACGGGTGTAATAAGAAATTACGAAAAATGAGGTACCCTGGGTGATGAGGTTTAAGTTCGGGCACTGGACGAGGAGAGGGGCGCTGGATGTTTTCCTGTGCACACTCCTTGCCTTTCATGATGCCTTGTGTTTGTTGCTCTGTTTCCAGGGGAGTCCCTTTCCAGGGGTCCACCATCGGCCTGGCGCCTCTCAAGGCCATGTGCTCCGAGTACCAGTCGGGGGGTGTGAACTCGGTAAGAGCTGTGCTCGTGCTGTTTGGCCGCCCAGCAGCAGGCAGATGCGAGGAGCTGCTTCTGACTGTCCCGTGTCTCTTTCCCTCATGGTCAGAACGAAAGAGCTCAGCACTCCAGCTGTTCTGTGTTTCCCTGCCTCCCGGTCACCCGGGGGTCTCTGTCCTGGTCAATCATAAGACAACGAGTCCCCCGGGCTGGCACGGTGGCTGCTTCACAGCGCTAGGGCTCTGGGTTCAGCTTTGGACCTGGGGTGCTATCTGTGTGGAGTTTGCATGTTCCCACCATGTTCGCATGGGTTTCCCTCAGGTGCTTCCGTTTCCTCCCACAGTCCAAAAGCGTGCCGGCTGGTGAATTGGCTTGTGGGCAACTGGCCCTGGTGCGAGAGAGTGTTTTTGTCTGTCTGCCCAGCGATGGACCGGAATCCCATCCAGTTTGTACCTTAACTTGGCTCCAGTGCTTGCTGGGATAGGCTCCTGCTCCCCCGTGACCCCGAATTGGAAGAAACAGTTAGAAAATGGATGGATGGGTGGCCTGAAGCCAGATGCCATTCGTTTGGTGTTCTGCAGCATCGAACGACGCTCTTCTGTGTTGGACTGACGGATATTTCCCTCTCGGTGCAGGATCACTCCCACGTTGCCATCGGAGTGGCTGCTACCATGGCCCACGAGATGGGACACAATTTCGGGATGAGCCACGACATCTCGGGGTGCTGTATGGCCCGGCCGGAAGATGGAGGCTGCATCATGGCCTCGGCGACAGGGTGGGTGCCAGCGACACCTGCTTTGCTTGTCTGCCTCTCTGTCACTCGTATTGTCCCTTGTTTTCTTCCTTTACAGATTGCTGTGTGTCATTTAGACGTAGGCTTTTTTGCTGACCGCAAACGCCATGACAGAACGCTCTCCTTTTAAAGTTTCTTGTTTTATGTTGGCGTTCATTCCAGCTAATGACTTTCCTGGCTTAAGTACGGGGTTTTCTCCATTTCCAGAGATGGCTGTCTGTCTCTTGTGCGCGCGGATTGTCTGTAACATTAAAGCTGCCTTGAATCACTTAATTAGGTCACGGCGGGAGACGCATCTCAAACTGGCTCGCCTTCTGAAAAATAAGTAGTGCTTATGCATCCAGGCTGTGCGGCTTAGTTTGAAACCATGACGAGGGCATTTCACATTGCTCAGTGCTCGCGTGTTTGGAAACGAGCTCAACCCTTTCACCGTTCAAAAGGCTAGTGTTCTACTTTGGCATTTGGCGCCCAGTGAAAATGTCAAGCGCTGACGCTTGTGAACTCGTTCTCCAAGAGTCACTTTGAAAAGCAGCTGTCGTGCAGCTGTAAAGGCAGGAGGACGCTGCGCGAGGGCCGGCGACTGGGACTCACAGGTGTTCTCCTGCGCAGTCACCCTTTCCCACGAGTCTTTAACCGGTGCAACGAGAGGGAGCTGGAGAGGTACCTGGGCTCGGGCGGCGGGAAGTGCCTCTTCAACCCCCCCAACACTGATGCCATGTATGGAGGCCGTCGCTGTGGAAACGGGTACCTGGAGGAGGGGGAGGAGTGCGACTGTGGGGAGGAGGAGGTAAGAGCAGCCACCCGTTTGGAATGTAGGGAAGTGAGAAAGATTACAGAGGAGCCACCCAGTTACATCTGTCACTCAACCAGTCAGTCGATGAATCAGTCAGTCAATAGATCCACCAGTCCATCAATCAACGAACCAATCAATCAACTGACCGATCAATCAACTAACCAGTCAATCAACCAATAGATCCACCTGTTAATCAACCAACCAATCAATAACCTGATTGATCAACCAACCACCAATCAATCAACCAAACCAATCAATCAATCGATTGATCAATTAGTCAGGTGATCAATCAGTACCCAATCAATTAATTAATGGCTCGTCATGTTTAAAGATCGGGAGAAATGACATCCATTTTTAAAATGTGCAATGTTCTGTTTTTAATATTGGATTTTTTTCTTGTATAACCTTCCAATCTGGAATTGGTTTTGGGCTCTGTTCCTCCGGCCAGCAATCCTGAGGATGAAGGAGATGAACAGTCTTGCTCGTCTGACGTGCTCACCTTGCACAGCCACTAGTTATGCTGAACCGTTCGGTACCGTGCAAAGTTCACAGCGCCCTGGTGGAGGATCACATCTGACAATGACGTGACTGCAGGCCTGCAGGATCCTGGGAAGGGCCCAGAGCGCTGGGAGGACCGTGGCTGAGCAATCTCAGCCCTCCGCCAGCAGTGCTGAGCCAGTTCTGTCCCCAGGGCTTCGCAGAATCGCAGGGAATCGCAGTCACACTCAGTCATATCACCAAGACCCGAACCTTGATCATCTGACTTGTGATCATAGAGCCCAACTCATAATGGGTGTCTTTTCTGGTTGAGCTGCTAGGAAAGCCTCCCAGTGTTCTGATCCAATGGAGTGAGCTCAGGACTTCAGAGCTTCGTCAGTGGCTCGGAGAAGAAAATTGTGAAACCCCATTCTAACCTGCTGCCCGTCTCTCTCTCTCCCCCCCTCTGTCCTGGCGTGCAGGAGTGCTCCAGCCCCTGTTGTAACGCCAATAACTGCACCCTGCGGGCGGGGGCGGAGTGTGCCCACGGGGTCTGCTGTCACAACTGCAAGGTGCTGTTCTTCCTCTAACTCTGAAGTGTCCCGTGCTGAGTGTCCTGTGCTGTGAGTGCCATGCGCTGGGGCTGTGTCTCTGTGTAGGTTTGTCTCTAGCTCTTGTTCCACTGTGGGGCACGAGCGTTGTGTTGAGGTGCGGTTTGTTGTATTGAGGAAGAGTGTGGTGCTAATACAGGATGGTGGGTTCATGACAAACATAAAAAATCTCTCTTTTTTCTCCTCTTTCCACCCCCCACCATATTCCCTTACTTCTTGTGTCTCCAGCTGAAGAGTCCAGGGGTCCTGTGTCGGGAGCCCTCTGGTCAGTGTGATCTCCCAGAGTACTGTGACGGGACATCGGAATTCTGTCCCGCCAACTTCTACCTGATGGATGGGACGTCCTGTGAGGGGGGCCGGGCCTACTGCTACACTGGCATGTGCCTGACCCTGGAGCAGCAGTGCCTGTTACTCTGGGGGCCGGGTGAGTGTCATGTGCATCCTTTTTGAATTGTCACACACAAATCAACAACAACAACAACAACAACAACAACAACAAAACAAAAAAACGGTTGTCTCCTGGGAGTGGTCATGTGACCATTTGCTGCATCACTTCCTGACTTCGGGGAACCCATTCCAGTCTACCTGTCTTTCTCTCGCCTGCTGTCGTGCAGGTTGCTGTGTCCTTCTCAAGCAGGCGACAACAAACACACAGCAGCTGAAACACCCTGCTCGCCCACTGTCCAGGCTTAATGCCAGGGGTTTGGTAGCGTCAAAACGGTTGATCAAGCTGGATGGATTGTCATGATTTTCAGCATTTTAGCACGTTTTTGCGGGTGCCGGGCAGAAATTTCAGGGTTGGCCCTCTGCTCGAACCCTAGCTCTGGACGTGGATAGTTGTCTGCCTTCTAAATACAGCCAGGCGCAGCGGGCTTGCCTTCTTTTCGGCCGTGCGGTGAAGAGTGCCGTCTGCCCTCAGGTGCCCGGCCCGCCCCAGATCCCTGCTTCGAGAAGGTGAACGTAGCGGGAGACCAGTATGGGAACTGTGGGAAGGACCTGATGGGGAAGTACAGGAGGTGTGAGAGCAGGTGAGGCCCAGAGATCAGCTCCGCTACGGTCAGGCCGGGTATCCTTTCCCACAGGGCCTGAGCCCTCTGCCTTGCACTTAGGTATGGAGGACCACAGGCGCCCTCTAGGTTTCATTCCCCATGAGCTCTTCATAAGCTGAATTGACTTCACTGGTCTTGTCTGTAGCTATTACCAAGCCTTTAGTCACTACTTTCAGGTTACCCAGTCCCTTCTAATGACCAGGGTGCGAACTTACCCTAACCGCAGACTCATAAGACTCATTTTCCTCCATAAACCTGATAGATAAATTGTTGTACAGCAACGTCTCACTTAGCACTGAGGATGCATTCCAAAGAGTGATCATCATCATCATCAGGCTGTTCAAGCATGATGGGGGATCAATGGTGTGACCTTTGTTCGCACCTCAGAATATGATTAAAAATCAATTTCACACAGAGAGGTGTTCATTTTGAAGTCACAGTTACAGGAGAAGTTTCTGGACCTTGGCTCCACACCCGTGCCTGCAGCAGGAGCCGAACGAACCTCAGCCTGGCCTCTCTCCTCCAGTCTGGCAGCGCTGGGAGGCCGAGGAGGGAGGGGAGGGGGGGTGGTGCCTTCTTCCTGATGAGCGATTATGAATGGAGCCGGCCGTGCCGTGCACAAGTGTCATGCCGCGCTCTGATTGGCTGATAGCGTGCACGTTGTCTCTGCTTGCATTTTGCCTCTCGCACCAGAAAAAACCCAGCAGGACGCCCACCACCGTGAGCTCCAGGTGCTTTCATCTGGCCTGTATGCAGATCACAACCAGAGAAACTGGCATCCTGCTTTGACACAGGCAGGTTTGGAATAATTAAAACAATATCCAGGATAAAGAGCGTTCCTAGAAGCAGATTTAAGCGAGACGTTGCTGCAGTATGGTGTTGTGAAAACTTAACCTTGATTCTGTACGAACTCCTCTGGTGTTCCCTGGCCCAAGCTGTCGACCGCACAATCGGCCAGAATGACTTATTGGGGTTGTCTTTGCAAGGCATGCCAAGTGTGGGAAAATCCAGTGCCAGAGTTCAGCCGCGAAGCCTCTGGAGACCAACGCTGTTTCAATAGACACCACCATCACCTTAAATGGGCAGCAGTTCAAGTGTCGGGGGACACACGTGTACCCAATGGGTCAGGGGGACGAAAGTGTGGGGGACACACTGGACCCAGGGCTGGTGATGACGGGGACCAAGTGTGGAGAGCGGGAGGTGAGGACCGACAGGGAATTTGTTTGTGTTTGTGTTTATCTGTGAACAGTTTCTCAGCGAAGTTGGCAGTGCTTCCTGTGGAAAGAGGACAGGCAAATTCCCGACCTTTGAAATGGACGAGAGGATGTGTGGGATTCATCGCAGCCTAACTGTGTTTTTTTTTTTAATTTGAAAAAGCAGGAACTTTGAATTTAGTGCTGTTGTCAACCCTGGCATCACTGTGGCTATGTGCCTGCAGCCTCACATTTGTAACGTTGCCTCTTGAAGTGTGACCAACCAGTTTTACAAGCAAAGTTAGAATATTGGACACCACTGGCCAGTAGAGGGAGCTCCAGTAGCTTAGTTCGGCCAGTGTCCTGTATTGGGTTACAGTGTTTTTTTTTACTTTTTATTTGAACAAGAAAACTAAATACAATACAGACAATAGTACATAAAACACATCAATAACATAGTCAGGGGTACATATTACAATACAAATACACATTATGAAAAAAGTTTAAACAGAGTAAATAAAAATAAGGTCCACGCAGCTGTCGTGTTTTTATGCAAATACTCTGTTACATCTATTTTAAAATGTTTTCCCAGACCATTTCACTTTATGTATATAATAACGTGTCAGTATAAAAATTAAGTCAATTACAAACAATTTTTTTGGATTATTTCCAGTGGGATTGAAGTTTAAGTCTGTTTCTTTACAAAATGATATCAATATTAGCCTCTTTTTTAATATAAGTTTGAAAATCAGTCCAGAAGGTTTTTACAAGGGTTCAGACAGTGTGGCTGACAGAGCTGATCTTACACATAGAAAGGAGCTGAAGGAGAAGCAGGGGCTTCTGGGACTCATTTCAGTCAAACAGCAGGTGAAGCTGTGTTTTCCTGTTTTCTGCAACAGATCTGCTTTGAGGGGCAGTGCCGGAATTCCTCCTTCCTGCAGGCAGACGACTGCAGGACCAAGTGCAATGGGCACGGGGTAAGCATACTGCCCGCTGTACCACTCCAGTGGGACTGCATACAGTCATAGCCTGCAGATCGTGTAGACAGAAGAGAATCACAACAGGTGCTCCACAGCTGTACTGTACGACAATAAATACACAAAATAAAAAGACCTTAATATTGACAGGCCTTTTAGGAGGAAGAGCGCATCTGTGTTGGGATCACACAAAAAAGACAATTGTGTTTTATTGCTTATGTAAATAAGTATTTCCAATAAGAAATAGGGATTAAAGCCAGATCCAGATACAGGCAAGGGAATGTTGTCGGCCAGACAAGAAGCACACAGCAGCAGGTGAGGGACAGTAATGCAATGAGAAAAAGGCGAAAGCAAAACACAACCCAGAGTTGAAATCCGGAGGCGGGTGACAGGTCGAAACTGGAGGACACAGGCAAAAGCACCGCAGGGAGAATTGTAGGCAAAAATCGGAATGTGCATGTAAATCCAAGCCCAGGGAAGCACAGGAAGCAGAGCAGGGAAATCCCGGAATTGCAGGTCAAGCAAACACAGTCGAAGCACAGAGGTGAGATTAGCTCAAACTCGGAACTATGCCCGAGCGTCTGATCAGTGCACGGGTGGCTCTCAGCCCCGAGCTGAATGTGCGCAGGTGGGACAGATCTTCTTCCACAGCGGGTGGTAGCAGGCTGATCAGCGGGGTCCGCCTGTGGGATCAGGGTTCCTGGAGTAAAGCGGAGACCTTTGGCCCAAGCCGGGTGACAGCTTAGTTCTGGGAAAACGTCAGATGGCTTCAAATAGTGGTTCACAAAAGGAGTTGGTGCTGGGATCCTGCTGACCTCGTCTCGTGTCTTCCTGCTCAGTTGTGTAACAACAATCACAACTGCCACTGCGACGCAGGCTGGGCGCCCCCGTTCTGTGACCAGAAGGGCACTGGAGGCAGCCTGGACAGCGGATCCATCACCACGCACAGTAAGGAAGACTTTTGCGGTGTCAGCAGTCAGGGATCAAATGATGTTTAACAGTCAGTTGAACAGCGACCAATAATTGAAGGTGCTTGTACATGTACAGTATCTGAGAGATGTACGTTTTTTTATCATTTGCTTTTTGCTGCAGAATACAATCAAGCCAACTGTTACCGATTTGATTTAATTGATATTTTTCAGCTGCGGAAATTATCTTAGTAGTGATACATGATCTGGTGTTTTAGTCATTTCATTTTTCTGTGCAATCTGGGAAGTGCTGATAGAATTTGCCAGTACAGTTTTCTCATCAGAATTGGCTTTCTTGGAATTAATAATTGGAGACAATAGGATTATGTGGAAATTCACATATTCTGAATATTCCAAATATTCTGCGGAGAAATAGGTCAAGCCAAGTGAGAGCTGACATCTGTATGCTGTGTGTGTCTGTAGGCAGCCTGCTTCCTGTGCTGTTGCTCCTCCCCCTGCTCCTGGCCGCAGGATTGGCTGCTGTCGGGCTGTGGTGCTGCTACAAACACAGGCTCCACCCCCTGAAGAAGAGCTCCGCCCCCCCGCTGGAGGCGCCGCAAACCAGGTGACATCATCATCCTTCATCATGCATTGAGAAAGACCTGTAGCAAACACAGACTGACCAGCAGGAGGGGCATCTTTGTAGAGATGATCCTTTAAATCAGACACTGAAGTCTACTGTTATGTATGGCCAATTCATACCGTGCTAAGTAAAAGTCATGATTCAGCTCTTTTCATTCAGTGTTTTTCCTTAATGCAGAATCACAATTTCATGGCAAATGCCATTTTGTTTTATGGTTAAAGGGGAACAGCAGTCTTAACTTCTCAGACTGGTTATTAAATCTCAGTGTAAAAAATAAATTAATTGATTGATTTGATTTTACAAATTCCAAATTAAGCACAAAAGCAGGAACTTTGAAAGTTCTGTAAGTCGCCACGTTGTCCCAAACACCTGGTCTCACCACTGGCGAGGTCGAGACTTCAAACGAATTGTGATGTTATTCAACCTTTCCTGCTCACTAGTCACCTTAATCACTGGTGTAATACGATGTACGAGCAAATAAGTACAGGTTGTGCAGCAGACGTTTCACCACAGAAATGTTCCAATGTGACTCTGCGTGCAGAGTTAAAAGCTAAGTTCTATTTACTGGCAAAACCGTCTTTGAGTCGAGAGCAATATTTCTGTTGGATTAAAAGAGATGAATTCACAAGCCTGCTTGTTTAATAATAATAATAATAATAATAATAATAATAAT